CATTAAAAGGTTGATAACACCATTGAAAAATCTAAAATCTATCAAATTACATTAAAATTAGATTTTTAGATAGAAAAAATCTAAGTCATACAGTTGTCTCCTCCCTTATCCACGGTTTCAATTTGGTTTCAATCACTGCCTGTCAACTGCAGCCCGAAAAGAGGAAAGTACAGGACAATAAGACATCTAGCGACAGAGAGAGAGAGATCACATTCACATAGCTTTTATTATACTATACTGTTATAATTGTTCTATTTTATTATTACTGTTAATGGTTTATTGTTTCTAATTTATAAATTAAGTTTTATCATGGGTATGTATGTATAGGAAAAAGCAGTGCATATAGGAATTATATAGGGATTGGTACTATCTGCAGTTTCAGGCATACACTAGGGTGCCTAAGTCCCCACACATAAGGGGAGTCTACTGCATCTCTTTATGTAGTAAAATAACTCATGCTCACAGCCATGTATACGGCCAGAATAATCAGTGCATAGTGTGCCAGATTCGTCACTAAGGTGGCTCCAATGCTTTGGATATCCATCATATGACAAGTTTTATGCTTTGGAAGCAGGTTGCCAAAAATACAGATTTGCCAATCTGGCTTAAACCACTCCTAAGACATTACCAACACAGGTCATGCCAAAGTTTTACATTGTAAATCCAGTGGCTACTTCTCATCCCTTCTCTCCTTTTCTCCAAATACTCATCCTTTCTTTGAGTATATACAAGGGATAGGGAAATAATATATCTTTCCTCCACTGCCTACTTCTAGGCTATGTATATGTTCATCCTTTCTTTGAGCTTACATAAGGCAAAGATCAATTAGACTCAATTACAGATGCTGAGAAGCTAACCGTCAAAATAAGAAAACCACTACAAAAATTATTGTGATAAGTGAATCTGCCAAATATACTAGCATATTCAAAACACTAAAAGGATATTAAAACAAGAAATCCCTAACTCTTTTGCCCTTGTTCTTTCCAAGATTCACTTCTCTACCTTTTCTTTTTTTAATTTTATTTACTCTGTGTGTGTGTGTGTGTGTGTGTGTGTGTGTGTGTGTGTGTGTGTGTGTGATGGAGTCTCGCTCTGTCGCCCAGGCTGGAGTGCAGTGGTACGATCTCGGCTCACTGCAAGCTCCGCCTCCCGGGTTCACGCCATTCTTCTGCCTCAGCCTCCCGAGTAGCTGAGACTACAGGCGCCCGCCACCACGCTCGGCTAATTTTTTTTTTAGTATTTTTAGTAGAGACAGGGTTTCACCGTGTTAGCCAGGATGGTCTCGATCTCCTGACCTCGTGATCCGCCCGCCTTGGCCTCCCAAAGTGCTGGGATTACAGGCGTGAGCTGCCGCGTCCCGCCTCTACCTTTACTTTGGACCTCATCCACTCATACCTTCTGGGATCCTGCTATCCCAGTTAAACTTCCACCTGTTCAACCTCTCCCATTAACAGCCTCTTCTACTGAACATATATAATCAGGCTCAAGCTTTTCTATGATTAGTAGTACATAGAGAATCATACTCTAAAAGTTATAGTCATTCTACTCTTAAAGACTGAGACTGTTTTAGACACACACACAGTTTTAATATTTTTTTTATATATATATTTAGGTATTTTGAATTTTTTTCACGTGTTATACTAGAGAGTTAACTCATAGTACACAATGGGGCTAGAATTAATACTAACAATGTTATTGTGTCCCTAAATGAATGAGGAAGCTCTTAGAGAATACTGTCACGAAATGAATAAAATATAAATTATTTAAACATTGCTACCATAAAATGTAATACATAACTGAAATATTAGAAAAGACAAATACTGTTATCTAATTCCAGAGTGTCATAAACAATATGTAAACAACTCTAATTAAATTACTTAATCAACCTCTGCCAAATATTTGCTGATTTTTATTTTGGTTAAGCAGAGTTTAATAAGTATCCAATAAATTTCAAAACAGGGAAAAATAAATAAATTTGGTCCAATGGCAAGATATCATCTCTTTCTAAATCTAAACTTTGGGGAAAAACTATGCTTTCTTTCACAACAGTGATTTTTTTTTTCACTAAATGTTAATATTATGGCTCCCCTATTAACTGTGCTCCTTTAGTGTTTTCATTAATTCCCTTATTCATTCAGTTGTGCAACACATATTTTACATGTCTACTGTGCACCAGGTTCTTTCTAGGCACTGAGATACAGCATTTAGCAAAACATTAAAAAATCACTGCCTTCATAGAAACTCTATGCTAGGTGATACATATTAGAAAACACATTTCTCAACTGTGTGCCTGTCAGAAATTCATTGAGACAAGAAATAAAGTATTTTGGGCCAGGACAGGCCACACTCACAGCCATTACTAGGGTGAAACTTCAAACTAGTTAAATGTATACACACACACACACACACACAGAGAGAGAGAGATTCGTATCTGTGTCTGTATACAGATATAGATAGATAGACAAACAGACCCATAGAAATGATGTATATTTCTTTCACTGCCTACTTTTTGGCTAAGACACAGGTGTTAAGCAAAAATAATCTGGGCATTCGTTCTCTGCTGCAAAGGCATTATTTTCTGAAGAGCTGGAAGACCATTTTCTTTCTTCTTCATCCTCTTACCTGTAGTACTTTCCCTTTTATAACTATTCAGAAAAGATAACTCCCTAACAAAGAAACTTTGACAATGGCTTATTTCACCCTTAGATGTGCATTCTAACAAATGACACATGACAGCAAGGGACAGATTCAGGAAGATTTCGTACAGTACATGCTGCTGGGAATGACTATTTTCTATACATTGTACTTACAGCATGAGGACAGTGAGGAATTGGTGAAGATCCCACCTAATAAAACAAAGCCAAAAGAGTATAGCACCTACCCCAAACTGGAAATAGTAAGTAAATCAAATTTCATCTTTAAGGTAAAGGAATTTCAGGCCATGTCGATTTCTGATTATTCCAAGAAGGAAAGCTATGTACACATAATAGCCAAAACCACAACCACCCAGTGCCTGGAAAGCAAGATCCATCACCTGTTTAAAAAAGAGGCACTATTTCAGTTTCAGGAAAAAATAAGAAAATTGCGTTCTATATTTGTTCATATTCACTAGCATTGTGTACACTAAGAATACAACTATACTGTAGAAATGCCTCTCCTTCTGAAAACTTTTGAAAAATTCCTTTCAATTTCCACATAAATTTTAAGTTTTAGTAAACCTGATAGTTTCAACATATTCTTATGTTATACCTAAATCCTCCCAGCTGAAGTTTACAGCTCTTTACTCTTGTCTTTGTTACCTCTTATAACTGAAGAATTTCTCAGTGAATAATTACTAAACTTCTAAGAGGTTCCTGACATTAACCCCTTAATAAATTTCCTCTCCTACAGGAATCTCCAAATTCCAAATTTCCAGACTTACAGGCCCAGAATACCCCAAAAGTGTATGACAACTCAGATCTATGAATATAGCAGCAATCAGTGGTGGAAACTCCTTGTCCCAGGGCCTCAGTTAACCTGGCAAATGTCACTTACTATGACGTTAAATCGAACTAAAAATATTAACTCTGAGATGGCATTAATTCTAGCCAATAGAAAGTGTATCTGTCATATTTCACTTATAGATAGGTAACTTTGTTCTAGTTAATAGATAAGTTTCTAAGATGGTAAAGAGAATCACCTATAAATTTGTATTAACAATTAACTTTGATGTCTCAGATATATCTAAACTTAATCACTGCTGCCGTTTACCTTCTCTATGTGTACCACTGTAAAAAAATATGTTTAAATCACCAGGCAGATAAATTCTGCAGAAAATCTCTCTTCCTCTCTTCCTTATGGAAATCCTGCTTTGTTTTTAAGATCAAAATAAAGTGACATGCCCTACAAAAATGTCCCCACAGGGACCCCAGCAGAAGTAATCAAAACTCTTTTTACCAAGAGCATGTTGCTTATATTTCTAGTAATTAACTTGTTTATAAGTCCTCAACTTTAACAGTATTTGCTTGATAGCAGACTAAAATGTTCATTGCATCCAAATCCACCAGGCAGTACTATTACAATATTTTTCACATACCAGGCAAAAGATTAAAATATCTCTTGTGACAAAAGTTTGGGCCTTCATAATACTTTTTTTTTCTTACAGTTTTGATTTTAAGAATTAGGTAAAAATGCATGCCCTCTTTTTCTCCCACCAAATCAACTACTTCCTGACTTTCCTCTTACAATGGCAAAACCATTGAGACCTTCGAATCTCCCGTGAGTCCTCTCTCTTCCTCACCTTGGGCTGGTCCTCCACAACGTCTTTTGCATTTGTTGCCTGTTTTCCAATTCCACAACCAAGGTCCTTCTTCAGTCCCTCTTTTCCTTTTATAAAGAACATATCATAGGCCTCTAACTGGACACATTGCCATAACCAATGCTAATAATTCAATAATAGAGTTCCAAAATATGTGAAGCCAAACTCTTCTTCCTTTACTCTACTGCTTCCTCCACTGTGATTACAACCTTCTCATATATTATATAATGTACCTATTTGTAATATTTATGTCTCCACCCAATAAAACATAAGCTAAATAAGGGTAGGCGGTTTGTTTTGTTTTTGTTTTTGTTTTCCGCTTTATTCACTGATATATCCTCTGTACCTAGAATAGTGCATACTTGAAAATGGGCACAAAATATGTATTGAATGAACTGAGGGGTATTTTGCTGAAGTAAATGTAAACTTCAGCATTTTACTAAGACAGAAGCAGTATGTCTTATCAATTAATTCCTGCACACAGCCAGTGAATGCAGGTATCATATACACAGGAGGAAAGCTGTGGCTGAAGAGTTTTCTCTTCTAATCCCAGAAGTGAAGAAAGATAAGACGACAAAGACAAGAAAAGGAGATGGGCTTGGAAACAGTTCAAACTGAATGCAATAGGAGTCGGTTTTTTCCAATCCTAGGATTAGGATTCCATAAATATAAACAAAGAAAAAGGAAAGAACAACTAACACACCTCTCTTCTCACGGTGTATTTCATCCAAAAGCTGCTCCTGCCTTTCTATCTGTTGGAAGAGACACTGCAGCTCAGATTCCTTGTGTTCAGTCACATTCCTGACTTGTTGTCTGCAGAGCATCAGCTGGTGTCGCAGATTTTTCTCTCTGTTTTCTCTCTCTTTCAGTTCCTCACAGAGCCACTGAAGTTTAGTCTAAAAAACGACATGTATATCTAATGGTTAAAGAAACCCAGAAAAAAGCAGCGTTTCAAACCAGGAGGAAAAAAATAAGTGACGTCACGATAATTTGAACACATACAGATAATTAACTAGGAAATTTTTGCAAAATTTTCAAATACCCATGTTTAATTTGCATAATGGTCTATATCAATCAAAAGCTGGTTCAGAAATTAAGCCATGATATTCGGAGATTTTTATAAAATCCCTTTAGAAAGACAAAGTTTGGCCTATTAAACTTTCAATAATATGATAGGTAATCCTCTGATTTGATATACAGGGCAGCCTAGTATAGGTGTAGGAATTTTAAAAACAAATACAGCCCAGAATAGAACCTACAGACTTTCTATAAAAGAAGTATTCCTTCAGAGAATTTTTTAAAAGAGAAAATTCCATGGCCAGGCGCGGTGGCTCAAGCCTGTAATCCCAGCACTTTGGGAGGCCGAGACGGGCGGATCACGAGGTCAGGAGATCGAGACCATCCTGGCTAACCCGGTGAAACCCCATCTCTACTAAAAAATACAAAAACAAAAAAACTAGCCAGGCAAGGTGGCGGGTGCCTGTAGTCCCAGCTACTCGGGAGGCTGAGGCAGGAGAATGGCGTAAACCCGGGAGGCGGAGCTTGCAGTGAGCTGAGATCCGGCCACTGCATTCCAGCCTGGGTGACAGAGCGAGACTCCGTCTCAAAAAAAAAAAAAGAGAAAATTCCTAGCATGACTTCTAAAAATGCATATCCCCATTGATCTAACTAATTAGGTATGAGGAGAGATTTTTTATTGACTAGAAGATATAGAGTTAATGTTTATGCTTCTAAGACACAAGAAAAGTGAATTCTGGCTACTCTTCTTCACAGATCTGGCAACTCTTCTTCACAGATTCTAACCTCACCTATCTTTTTTTCTTTCTCTCTCTCTTTTTTTTTTTTTTTTTTTGAGACATAATCTCACTCCGTCGCCTGGGATAGAGTGCAGTGGCACTCTATTTATATTTCTAAATATTGTCCTGTGGCCATACAGCATATGAAGAAACATTTATTCAAGAAAGTCTAGTTAACCTCATTAAAGTGGCACTTGAGGCATAACTGACTCCCTCCTTCTACCCTCAGTGTGACAAAAGCTCCACTCCTCATTCCAGAAAAACACTGCCAAGAAAACAGGGTTTTCTCTTTCTCCAGTTCACAGTCAAGGTACACCATAGCATACTAGATGGGCAGATCACCAGGATTTTTCAGCCTTGCAGCTCTGATTTGCATAGGCTAAATTCCTGGCCAAGTGCAGCAAGATGTTGAGAATCCCTTGCTCCCCCAATGTCCCACTGATAGGATGGTTACTCTCTCCAAGCACAGCAGGCTGAGAATACTGGGGTCCCAATTGCCATTTCCCCAGGCCACTTATAATAAAGCTGTACTTATGAATATGCCTGACGAATACAGATTTTTTTTTGAAATCCTCGAGAAAATACTAGCAAACAGAACTCAGCAAGCCATAAAATGAACATCACGATTAATATGGTTTGGCTCTGTGTCTCCACCCAAATCTCATGTCGAATTATAATTTCCAATGTTGGGGGAGGGACCCAGTGGGAGGTGATTGGATCATGGGGGCAGTTTCCCCCTTGCTGTCCTTATGATAGTGAGTTCTCGAGAGATCTGGTTGTTTAAAGGTGTGTAGACTTCATCCTTTGCCCTCTCTCTCTTGCTGCCATGTGAAGACAAGACATGCTTGCTTCCCTTTCACCCTTCCACCATGACTGTAAGTTTCCTGAGGCCTCCCCAACCAAGCATCCTGCACAGCCTATAGAACTGTGAGTCAATTAAACCTCTTTTCTTTATAAATTACTCAGTCTCAGGTAGTTCTTTATAGCAGAGTGAGAACGAACTAATACAATGATCAAGTGGAAGTTATCCCATGAATGCAAGGTTTAAGAGATATTAATGTAATAAACCATATTAATAGAACTAGGGACAAATGATATCTTATATAATTATATCAAAAGATACAGAAAAAGCATATAATAAAGTTAAACATTCCTTCATAAAAAAGACACTCAAAAAACTACAAATAGAAGAGAACCTCCTTAATATGATTTTTAAAATTTCTATGGAAAACCCACAACTATTATCATACTTAATAGTAAAAGTCTGAATGCTTTCACACTAAGACCAGAAACAAGAAAAGGATAACAGCTCTCACCACTTCCATCTAACATTGTATTAGAGGGTTATGAAAAGGCAATTATACAAAAAATAAAAAGAAATTAAAAATATCCAGATTGAAAAGGAAGAAGTGAACATATCTCTATTTGCAGGTAACAGGCTTATGTGCAGGAAAATCCTAGTAATTCCATGAAAAAAATCTATTAGAACTAATAAAAGAGTCCAGCATATTGCAATACATAAAATCAATACAAAAATTAATTATATTTCTATATATTAATATTTGCAATGAGCAATCCAAAAATAACATTAAGATAATCATATTTGCAATAGTATCAAAAATGAAGTATTTAGTGATAAACATAAAACTGCAAAACTTATATCTTAAAACTACAAAATGCTTTTTAAAAAACTGAAGACTAAGTGGGAAGATATCCTAGATACATGGATTGAAAGAGAATATTATTAGGATAGCAATACATCCTGCCTAATCTACAGATTTAACAGGATCCCTTTCAGAATCCCATCTGGCTTCTTTAAAGAAATTGATGAGTTGATCCTATGTTTCATATGGGAATTCAAGGCAAATTTCCAAAATAGCCAAAAACAAAAGATATTGGAAAAGAAGAATATAACTGGAGGATTCATACTTATCTATTCCAAAGCTTACTACAGAGCTACAGTAATCAAGATGGTGTGGTATTGGCATAAGGACAGATATACAGACTGAAGAAACAGAAGTGAAAGTCTAAAAATAAACCCTTACATAAATGTCAATTGATTTTCAACAAAAGAGACAAAAAAAATTTAATGGAGAAAAGAATAGTTTCACCAACAAATGGTGCTAAGACAACTAAATATACAAACACAAAAGAATTCATTTGTACCCGCTACTTCACACCATATACAAAAACTAACCCCAAAAGGATCACAGACCTAAATGTTTTTTTTTTTTTTTTTTTTTTTTTGAGACGGAGTCTCGCTCTGTCGCCCAGCCCAGGCTGGAGTGCAGTGGCGCGATCTCGGCTCACTGCAAGCTCCGCCTCCCGGGTTCACGCCATTCTCCTGCCTCAGCCTCCCGAGTAGCTGGGACTACAGGCGCACTACCGCGCCCGGCTAATTTTTTGTATTTTTAGTAGAGACGGGGTTTCACCGTGGTCTCGATCTCCTGACCTTGTGATCCGCCCGCCTCGGCCTCCCAAAGTGCTGGGATTACAGGCGTGAGCCATCGCGCCCGGCCGAGACCTAAATGTTAAGAGCTGAAACTATAAGATTATTAAAAGAAAACACAGGCATAAATCGTTGTGACCTTGACTTGGCAGTAATTTCCTAGGTATAACACCAAAAGCAGAAGCCATCAAAGAAAAAAAGCTGATAAATTGAACTTCTTTGAAATTAAAATTCTGCACTTCAAAGGCCACCACCAACAAAGAGAAGAGACAACCTGCTAAGTGGGAGAAAATATTTGCAACTCAATGTCTAATGAGGGAATTATATGTCGGATTCATAAAGAAATCAATAATAAAAAGACAAATGATGCCGTTTATGAAACGTACAGAGGATGTAAATAGATATTTCTCCAACGAAGATATACAAATAGCCAATAAGCACATGAAAAGATGCTGAACATCATTAGCCGTCAGGAAAATGTAAATCAAAACCACAATGAGACTCTACTTCACACCAGCAGGGTAGCTAATATCAAAAAGACAGATAATAACAATTGTTTGCGTAGATGTGGAGAAACTGGAACTCTGACATACTGCCGGTGGGAATGCAGAGCAGTGCAATCGCTTTAGAAAATAATCTGACAGTTACTCTATGGGTTAAACATAGAGGTACCATACAACCCAGCAGTTCTACTCCCAGGTAAAACTCCAAGAGAAATGAAAAACAAATGTCCATGCAAAAACTCGGACAGAAATCACTCATAGCAGCATTATAACAACAGCCAAGAAATTGAAACAATCCAAATTTCCATCAAATGATAGACAGATTTTAAAAATGGAATATATTCAAACAATCAAATATTATTTGGCAATAAAAAACTGAGGTCATGATACATGCTAAAATGGATATATCATAATATAGATGAAACTCGAAAACATTCTGCTAAATGAAATAAGTCAATCACAAAAGACCACATATTATATGATTATATTTATGGCCGGGGACAATGGCTCACGCCTGTAATCCCAGCACTTTGCGAGGCCGAAGCAGGCAGATTATGAGGTCAGGAGTTCGAGACCAGCCTGACCAACATAGTGAAACCCCGTCTCTACTGAAAACACAAAAATTAGCCAGGCATGGTGGCATATGCCTATAATTCCAGCTACTCAGGAGGCTGAGGCAGGAGAATTGCTTGAACCCAGGAGGCGGAGGTTGCAGTGAGCCAAAATTGCGCCACTGCACTCCAGCCTAGGCAACAGAGCAAGATTCTATCTCAAAAAAAAAAAAAAAATTATATTTATTTAAAATGTCCTGAATAGACAAATCTACAGAGACAGAAAGATTAATGGCAGACTAGAACTGGTGGTTGGATTTATAGGTGATGGCTAAGGTGTCCTGATTTTCTACTTGAGGTGATGAAAGTGTTCTCAAATTAAATGTGGTGATGACTGCACAATTCTGTAAATACACTAAAAAGCATTAAATGGTGCATTCTAAATGGATGAATTGTATATGAATTATATCTCAATTAAGCTGTTATTTACACACACAAAAAAAGGAAGGGTAGAGAGTAAGTCAAGACAGAAAAACAAAGCTAAAATTATACATCTATGGATAAATGAGACCTGGCTTTAGTACACGCTATGGAATC